AAATCTCTCTTATCCGGGTTTCTCTTATATCCGGGTCACACTGTATTTTCATTTCTATGAAACAAAGTTTTTCGCTGTTTTTCAACGAATTTTGATTTCTATGATGGGATTTGCTAAAAAAATATGCCTTTTGAATATAATAAGTAGATTTTTTTTCCTCGCGTTTGTCGGTAATTAACTTTGATACAATATAGAGAAACCCGGATATAAGATACTATAAGAGACAGGTGATCTCTTTTTTTTTTCCATGACCAGCTGGAGTGGCTGTTTATCTTTGGGAATGAATTCGCCATGACCAATTTTATTGTTTCAAACTTATAACGCCATATCAATATAAGGAATCAATTTATGAATGATTTTAAATATAAAAAAAATACGATATAACAATATTCATTATTATTATAATAAAATTATTCATTGAATTATTTTTTTGAGCATTTTTGCCTAACTTTTTGAAATAAACGCATAAAATGGAATAAACCGATTTTCGGAAAACTATACTTCCATCAAAAGAGTGGTCTGAACCCTCACGTAGAAATAATCTACAGCACAAAACGTTTTGACGTGGTTTAATGGTTAGCAAGCTTGTGTTACTCGAACATAACGACCGAGAAATCAGTCACTCTGTACTCCATATCTTCGGTCTTGTGATATATCTAATCTTCCCTTAGAAAATCATTTTTGGATTCTTCAATGTGGAGTACTTGTTAGCAAACATATCTCGATAGAAAAGTTACGACTGAGTAATGAGTTGGATCCTACCTGGGTGCCGCATATTTTCGGCCTTGTGCCACATCTTAGCTACGCTTAAAAATCACATAAAATAAGAAAGTCTTTGTTTTTAGAGAGATCGAACCGAATATTTTTTATTTAATTTGAGATTATTTTTGTTTACAGATCGTTTCAAATGATTTCCTAATGCACTTTGCTTTTATATTTATAATTTTCTTCGCGTTTTTTTAAGATGAAAACTGGTCAAATGTATAGTACATTACATTTCATTTTCTTTGCAATCTTATGAAAATTTTGATATGGCGGTAAGACGAAAAAAAAATCAGCAATTATAATTTTTTAATTAAATTTTCAGATTATATCTTTTATTTTTCTGCGTGTGCTAAGCCCATGAGATTTTTTTTCTCTTGCACTGTTTGTTTCTTTTCATTGCAAGATTAATTTCAGGTCACGTGAGCAGAAAGCGTACTACAGGTAGCATTTCTTATTCACGCAGTGTGTATCAGGTCTGTGACAGGTGATGTCTTTTTTTTTCTTACTGGTCTACTATATTATTTCTAATTTAATCTTTATATATATATATATATATATATATATATATATATATATATATATATATATATATATATATAATTGTGCAAATCTCTCTTTGTTTCCTCTTTTTCCTAGTTACTTCTTTACCTCACCTCTTTTTCCTTCAACCACAAAATGTTTATATCTCGTATGCATGTTTTTTTTTTCGTTGAATTTTTATCCTTCGTTGTCTTTTATCTTATACCAGATGTTTATTCCATCCATTTTTAATTGTTTCTGCAAGTGAAAATAGAGACGATAAAGCTAAAGTGAAAAGCTCTCGAAAGTGCTTTAATAATATCCAGCAACAATAATAGACATACGCACTGGATATTTTAACGTATCTTATTTCTGTAATGAAATTAAACTTCCTTCCTTCAAAGAAATTCTCTTTTCACAATGAAAATATTTCTTTAAGGTCCAAAAACGTTTCAAAATTAAAGAGAAATGTTTAATTCTTTGTTAAAATAAAATGAGTTATTATAATAATAATAATAATAATAATAATAATAATAATAATAATAATAATAATAACAACGACATTAATTCATTTGCGTTCAAATAGTTTTACAAAAATTTCCGTAATTTAAAAAAAAAAAAAATTCACCCCAAGCAACGAGTTAAAGCCACTAAGATAGAAAGGGTTACCGAGTATGAAATTAACTGCGAGAACTTTGACGAAAAAGATGATATTAAAAAAAATCAGTATTCAAGTAGAGATGACGATTGACGTGGCAATTTTCTGTCAACCTCAAATCAAAAAGATGTAATCTTTTTGATTTGAGGTTGACAGAAAAGCAAAAATCGATAGAAGAGGTCCACCTACGAGAAGTGCGAGAGAAGAGACCATTAACATAGAACTTACACTTATATCTGACAATTTCAAAGTAAAGTAGCTGCCAAACTAGTACTGCGTTTAAATTTATGAAGGTGATGTACCAAAGAGGAAAACTCATCTGAAAAATTGACATGATTATTTTTTTTTTTTTTTTCTTTTACAAAAACCATAAGGAACCTAAGCCACGGCAATCTAAATAGTGATTCAAGCCGAGACTCTAATTCAGGTCAGATAATATTGTAGATTCTTATTTCCATTTTTTTTAACTCATTAATTAATTTGTTCGTTTATGGCATATACGCCATTTGCAAGTTATTTAAAACCATAAAATAATTTTAGATTGTAAAACAATGATTTACTGATAGAAGCTGGATTTTGACCTGAATTTCTGGATACATATCAAAAACTTTAAATAAATAATGTATTTCTTTACGATTTACTATATTAAAAATAAGTAAAAACAAAGAACTGGTTCAAACTTTACATAATGCCTTCAAATGAGAAGAAAAATGTTAATCCTTAATAAATTAAATTTATTCGGCTATAAAAAAAATATATATCTTACTCGTGCTGAGTTGTGTCGGTATTGAGTTGTCTCAGTCCGCAGTCTGCAGTATTCATTTGTCCGGCGCTCGCGTAAAGTCTATCGCTGCGCAAAATATTATCGGTTAAAGTAGCTTCAACTTCCGACTTAATCATTTGTAATCACTTTCACACAAATGATGTTAGGAAATGTACGAATGCATACCATCTTTCTGACGGTATGTTTTAAATATTAGGATAGACTGTATTTTTGATCTATGTTGAAGGTCAGCTCCGTGTTTGAAAACGTGGTGAAGACAAAGGGATTTTCTGGCAATACACATTGAAAAATATAATGTATCTGTGGAAAGACATGACGGCTTTACCCACTGGATAGAGGTTGAATTTCAAGAAGCCATAGTGTTATAATGTATCTGTGAAAAGACATGACGTTAGTGTTAGCATTAATAAAATAGGAACACTCCACATAGTATAAAACTGATACCCATATTTATCTAATACAATAGGTGTTCAGATGTAATGTATTAAATAACAATGACAATTTTTTATCTGAAATATAACCTCATATTATAATTTAAATAATAACTGAATTAATTTTTTTAATGTTACCGTAAAACGCCATGCTTTACTAGATTATACATCTATCTTTAATTAACTTACCGAATGATATATAAACGAATATTATAAGCCCGTTATTGCTGATTTTCTAACCATTATGCTCAAGCTGTGAATATAAACTTTGGGATTTTAAACGAATAAACATTTCCGTTGTTGCAGTGTGGATTGCAGAATATGATTATTTAATCCGCGAGTTTTTATTTCCTCCTTGAACGTGTTCCTACAATTATCTCTGATTACTTGCGCATATTTTGAGTTAAAATATCTGTCGGAAACTGATTGTTAAATGTCAATGTCCAAGCGCAATAAAGAATGAAGAATTTAAATATGAAATTGGGATTGTAAGTGTTCAAGCTTCTCTCTTTCACCTCTTAATTGCAGTTGTCCTCACTTCCACCCTGACCAAGATTGGTAGCACCGGTTAATGTCCCAGCTATAGACAAATAGTGAACCTTTTAAAAAAATGTAATGAAAGAATAAAAATACATTTTATAGTAAAAATACCAGCAATATACTTTTATATTAAAATGACCAACAATACATATTTAGAGCTAAATGACCATTAATAAATTTTTAAAACAAGATTAACAACAATAGATTTTATAAAAGAATTACCAACAGTACATTATATAGCAAAATGACCAACAACGGTTTTTATCTGTAGTTGAGTTCATACAATTGCGTTCGAAATATATTTAATTGAAGTCAAATATTCTGTCCAATTATTTAGATTTCGGCATTAAATAAATGATAGATTGATATGCCGCTAAGCAAAAACCAACCAGCCAACATCTATTAAAGCAAAACGAAAAAGAACAGCATGTGTTATTCAAAACTGTCCTTTTGAAAAAGATAATTGTCAATAAATTACCAATGGTCCAGTGCAGCGTAAGAATTTTCAATTACCCACAATTCCAGGAAATGTAACGTCTTCATTTTCGCTTGCAAACACAGTGTATCTTTGTATCTTTTTTGAAATTTATTCTCTAAATTCATCCATGCAATTTTTCGTCCGAAAGCACTGCACAACATCTTCAAGACGCGTTTCCATCTCGATGTCCACGTGTCACTTTCCCGTTTGCTTTTTAAAAAATGTTCTTTTTTTTTCTTTATTTATTTTCTTTTAAATTCTTAAATATCCAGCATGATCTGGGCGCCTCTTCGTGGAGAAATGGTTAGCAAGCTATCCTAGCAGACCATTGTTACTATAATCTGAAAAACTCCCGCCGGCTGTCCCACATTCTTGGGTTTGTGCCACATAAAGCCCAGCTTGGTAAATGACTACGTCTTGCCTTGTGGCTGATGAAGTTGCTTTTCTTTTTTCTTGGCGCCAGTAGACAGTGTTCGGGGACAAGTAAAATATCTGGATTCCGAATGCTAATTTTCAAGGCAAGCATATCGTCTGCATTTTGAAGACTGGCGCAACACATTTTTTCAACTCCTATTATCCCACTGTTTGATTTTATTATTGATTAAGCTAAGCTTTTTATAATTCTATATCCAGCATGCTACGCATGTGTTAAATCAACATCAATACAGATTGGATTAATACTGTTTTTCTTTCTCTTTCTCACACTCTCTCTATTTCTCTCTAATTTTATTTTTGTACCATCTTCTTCGTCCAGGATCTGAGGTTGCTCCCCGCGCTGTTTCAACCCGGATTGTCAGCGGAATTTGGTGGTTCTTCACTCTAATAATGATATCCTCTTACACGGCGAACTTAGCCGCATTCTTAACCATTGACCGGTTGGATACCACGATTGAGAGCGTCGAAGATCTCGCCAAACAGACGGATGTACACTACGGGACATTGAAAGGGGGGTCATCCAAAGCATTCTTTGAGGTAAGTACAAAACTTAAAGTCTCGAATATTTTTTTCTGTTTTGTGCCATGTTCATTCATGGTGTTAGTAACCATGACTCTCCCTAGATTTTCTATCCTATGTAGCTCTTAATAATGTTTTCATTTTACTATATCTACCATTCCTCATTTCTACCATCTATTTACACAAGCTCCAGTGTAAGTTACTCGCTGGTCATCGCTGCTCCTTTTACCTTCACTATGTCTTGGGGTACAATCTACATGTCTTCTTTCCTATATGTTGCAATTATTTCAGTTGTCCTTTTCTAATTCTTAGTATAACTGTCAGTCTTGATTCCAATTACCTTGGCTATTCCTCATTGCTCACGTTGCGGCGTTGTTAGGAGCCAGAAATAAAGACACAAAGAGGGGAATTAAATTAAACAAATATATTAAAAGAATACAAACATAATAAAAGTAATACAAACATATACAAACGAGAGTGTTACAACAGGAATGTTCGGTCCGACTGTCAGAGCTAACTGCTGGAAACTTCCCTTGCGTAAAAGGCACTACCTGCTACTACTTATAGCTGGGAGAGTTCATGTGTGCGTGGGTAAATTACCATAACAGCTCACATGCTCCGTTCAATCGAATTTTCTGGATTCTTTTGTAGAAACACATCACTGTTGTCTCAAGTCTCCTTTTTCAATCAGTCATTGCTATTGCGTGCAATTAATTACATGACTAAGAGAACAGAGCAGAATCAGATGCGATTTTTGCTGGGGTATGCCTCTCTAAGATAACATCTAATCGTGCGATAAATTTATTTCACTTCTACGCCCCAATTCCAGAATAAACAGAAGGTCATCTATCATAAACAAAGTGAGTTGTGCTGACTTCATTTTCTACATCGATCGTGAAAAATCACTGGCTGTTACGCAATGGGTAAATTTTCTTCGAAAAAAGTAGTCCAACTTGGTAAGATTTATCAAAACCAAATCTAAAACATATATGGAATAAAAGCCTACAATAGATCATTGGCAGTTGCCGGAATTATTACGTGAATCAATCGACGTTTGTAAAGATTAGCAAAGCTAATGGTAAACTACATGATGCGATGGGTAAATTGTCACAATTTATATTTTAATCTCGGAAATGCATGTTGTTTTTGAAATTATCGACTGCTGAGTATAGCAGGGTCAGTTAGGCATTGTCTATGAGAAAAGAAAGAGTACAATGACGCAATTCACTTCGCCAGAAATTTGGAATCAGCTAGTTGTGCTGATTGACATTCGCGCCAGAAGTTCCAATGCAAGCACATCATAATATTCTGGTGTCAAACTGAAGACAGTGCAGAAGATTTTAAAAGATTTGGAAGAATCTAATGGTGATTACGAAAGTGTTTGGAGTGATCACTAATAATGGAGAATTCATTTTCCACAGGGCCTCAAACTCAAAACACGGAGGCTTACATCAAGTGCCTTGAGGAGGTAGTGGATCAGGAAGGTGGCTGTTGGGAGACCCACTATCTGGCAACAGGACTCTGCACCATGCCACAGAAGCAGGAGAAACTAGCCAGACAATTTCTGCAACCGCATCTCCACTTATATCTGCCAAACCTAACTGCAACTCCCTAGATTAATATGTGTAGGGCTCAGATCAGCGAGGGAACGGCAAAACTCCTTTGATACCAAAGATGAACTGAAGGCAAGAACTATTGCAGTATTCAACAAATTAAACAAACTAACTGTTAAGAAGTGTTGCAGGACATTCTGAAGTCATCTGGAGGCTAGGTCTGAAGTCAATGTCGATTTTATTGAAAAATTTACTCATTAATATTTCAAAATATTTTTGTGCAATTTTGTTAAATATGTCTGTTAAAATGAGATGCCAGCGTTATTTTCATTTATTCGTGAGTTAGACGCCAATTTATCCATCGCACCTTGTATATATTTATACAGGGAAAAATAATTTTAATGGGGCGTAACAGTTATCGGAAAACGGTAACGTCTTATCGAGTTCAAATTCGAGACTAAGCAGTTGTTTTCAATTTGGCATGAATTCACTTAAGGTGGAATGAATGTATTTTTTCTCCAATCATGTTATAAGCAAAAGAAGTTCTCTAGTTTTGTTTGGTAACCAATCTAGCTGAATGATCTGTTGGCCCTGGTGTTAGCAACTCAACAATATCAATTACACCCAGGGTCAAAATATTTACGCCTAGCAAATTTTCATCTACAATGTTGAAGTTTTATACAGTATTTACATGGATGTAAATTTTGAAGACAATTAAAATTTGTATTTAATTTACGACTTTAATTATCTTATCGATTACAATGATACTACTTGCATAATGGCAGAAAATGGTAGCAATATTTTAAAACTGATATTATTCTAATATTAAAAAAAAAAGAATTAGGTTGATGCAAATATTTAAGGTTATCTTTTATTCATATAAATTCTGAATAATTGGCATTGCTATATATTATGCAATTCAACCATTCAGTAAAATCATATATATCTCAGCAAATAAATATTTCGGTTAAGAAATGAAGTAATCTGAAATCTTGGAAATCTTTGTATACTTTCTTAAAAAAATTATATTGCAAGAAGCAAAATGAGGGAATTCTGCATAGGACACATGTTAATAATCAATCCTATTAAGATTGATTTGATTTTTGTTTCGCAGAACATCAACTCCTTGTGGGCCGTTTAATGCTGCGATTTAATGTTCTTGAGAGCTGTGGAGAATTAAAAATATTTTTTTTTTATTTTGCTTTCGCAATTTAATACATGGTAGATGATACTTAGCTTTTAGCACATTTACATATTTGTGTAGATAATTACTAGAGGCGTTGATATGTGTCTTTTATGTTGTAGATCAATTGAAGTTTTATTTTTGAATTCAGTTTAAGAAATAGTCGCGTATAATAAAAAATAATACCAAGTAAGTATTATTCCATTTTGGTTGCTTAGTTGATTTTGTTTAGCCTCGTTTCAATCTCCATTGAAACAATATTATGGATCAACTATATACATTTTAAACGAAATTGCATCTATTCAACTACAGATAAAAGGCATTGTTAGTAATTTTGCTATAATGTGAATTGTTTATAATCATATATACGAATCCGACATCAGGGTTGTCTTGGGTATGACGATAAACTACATCCACGTCCTCGGTAAGATGATAAACTACGTCGAGCAGCAAGGCCTCTGATCAGGAGGTTTTCAGGAGCGCGGAACCACCTCTTAATTCCTGGTGTTCCCAGGCTCACCCTGACCCGGAGTGGTGACACCTGTTAGGGTCCGAGCTATGGGCAAATAGTTAACACCCAAACTTGTGTACAAATATGTTTTAATACCAGTTATAATAAAAAAAAATATTACCAGCAATAAATTTTGAAAGAGAAATTATTATCAGCAATACTTTAAACAAATAACAGCAATACAAACAGCTATATATTTTTGAAAAAAAAATATGACCAGCTATAGATTTCTTCAAGGAAAAATATTCCCAGTAATAAATTTTTGAAGAAAAATATATTATCAGTAATAAAAATTTTGTCGGCATTAAATAACCCATTGAGGTTGATATGCCGTAAACCGACTTGAGGTCGGGTGTGGGCTTAAGTCCTAACATGTGTCCAAGGCAAAAGGTCACCTTGAGAGAAAACACATTCATTGCGATGCATAGAAATTCAGGTGTGACTTGGTGAGGATGAAACATTACAATATTGTTTTTTGAGGGATTGAATGTGACCATCCAGTTTTCCCCATTGAGTAGTTTAAGCTAGGTCAGCAGAGATCATAGGATACCACGCACATAGCGTTGTGTCATATTTATACGTTGTATAATAATTTCTTATAATTCTTTATTCAAAAAAGCCATTTTTTCAGGTTGCAACATTTCTTAAATTATCCTGTATTCTACCAAGCAGAAAATATTTCTTTAATCTAATAGGTAGTATCACTTAACATTGACACGTTGAGAACTGTCCCAGTACAAATACCTTCCATTTGAATTTTAGAGAAAAGAGGTATTTAAAACATTCAGATAGAAAATATTAGTAAGCATCGGGATTTTTCAGATGTCACTGATTTGCTGCAGTTAATATATATCAGAATGACTACTAGAATTGTGTACATGTTAAAGGTATTTCTAAGATCGATGTACGTTTTAATAAATTACTTAAGTTAAACTGATATTTAATGACTATGAAGTCACTGAATAAAATGCAGTATGTAGAAAATCTTAACTTGAAAATATAAAAAAAAGGTTTTAATCCAAAAAATCAAAAAGATGCAAAAATTTTCTAAAAATTGAATTGTTAGTAATTTTAGATGTTGAAATACGTAGAATATTTACGTTATTATGATGTATAAAAACAAGGCTGGTGCAATAGTTGACTTTATATCATTAAGTTTTAGCTAAGATCAGTTTTTTGTCTTGTACTGTGTTTCTTGTTACAGTTTGATTACTACGCGATTATATACGGTATTTATCTGCGTTCGTATATAAATGAATTAGCATACTGAGATAAGAAAATGTTCTGAGAAACAAAAAAATAAATGAGATCTTAACTGCGGCGTAATATCTCATTTCCTATAAGGCAGTGAATGCTGGATAAACTCATCATCGATCTAGGAGAGACTTGAAAAAACAGTGACGTTCCTCTGCCGATGATTGCTAAAACTAGCATCGGTAGAAAATGTCGGCAAAGAGAAAGCGTTATTGAAAATAGGAAGAAGAGTCAAACTTTTTACTTACAATCAGAAAAAATGACGGTTTTATGTTTGTGAATTTAACGAGGAAAGACGTTCAAGAGATTTTACCACTTGGACATTTTAGAATCCGAGGAAACAGCGTGTAAAGTTTTTCGAGACTTTGGGTGGGGTGGAGAGTAACTAAAAACAAAATGGCTGGTAAACTTCTTTCTTTTTAAAGAGAGGGTCTCCTTGTACAAAGCCGGGAAGTCACACACGGTAGACGATTACAATGAAAAAAGCAGTGTTTATGTGTACAGAAAGGGAAGATAATCGATAACCCTAGATTTGAACAGGTTAAGATTGTAGTGATCACGGAAGCATACTGGCTCAACAGAGCAGCGGTTCGTGGTAAGAAACTGCTCGAGTTATTTCTCACCAATGGGGTACGGACGGAATGAGAGCAGTTTGCAATACAATGCGCATAGGATGGCGGGTCCTAGGCAAGAAAGTTAGAGGCAGGTTTCAAATTAAAGGAAAAATGGATTGTTATAAAATATCAGCAATTCTCTATTGAGAAAATTATAAACTACTGATAAGTACGTTTTCAGAATATGACTAGTTGTCATGGAAGATCGAGATAATCTATAACCAATGGAGAATTAGGAACATTTACAAATACCCTTCTACTAGTGGTTTTACTGTTTTATTTCCTCCAATATATATATATATATATATATATATATATATATATGGTTTAGTTTTATAAATCTGTACTCAGATTTTAAAGGATATAATATTGCATTCAATCTTCCGTATATTTTTGGTGAAGTATGTTTATAGATTGTAATTTCTTTTTTAATTACACCACAAGAAAGGCAATAATGCCACTAAGACAAAAGGGGTCACCGTGCGAGAAAACCAAATATAATTTGAACAGTTCTTACAAACACAATATCCCAAAAAGAAAGATATCATTTCTTGAAAGTATTTATAGAAAATATACCGAATGGCAACCTTTTGACGATGGAAAAATGATTGAAAACGAGCCACCAGAACAGGGCCACTAATATAGAAGATTATTCAGATTTTATCAAAGAGCTCTAGGTAAATACCAGTGGCTATACACTTCGGATAAAATTTCAAACAGAATGTCTTAGACATTATCACAAAGGCAGCTATTACTGTTATTTTTGTCACTTTTCCATCCTTTTTATCTCTTTATTTATAAAACTACATTTTTGGGACGAAAAAACAGCTGTAACTACTTTTTTCAATTTATACATCATTGTTTTCTCTCTATAATAAAGGTGATTTCAGTAAATCCTTTCCTGTCGTGCCAAGGTGTGATTGGTTAGCTACGACGTTTCGTTGATAAAAAATATAATGTCGATGGTGGAAGGAAGAAAAGTTCGGGGATATTTTCGAATAGTCACTCTTATCTTGTGTCCGATACGTATAATTCTAACGCGGTGGAATGGTATTGAGGGCAGTGATTTCGCGTGGGCCTAGATATATAAAAGAAAAACAGGAAGAAAAAAAGATTTAATTGTAAATAATGGACGTTTAAATTAAGTGAAAATTTTATGAATAATAATAACAATAGTAATAATAATAATAATAATAATAATAATAATAATAATAATTTGTTGCACATGATCGGAGCTTATTTACATCCAAGTATCAAGCTAATATCTTTCAAAATAATACAGATCTAAAATATGAATCCTCTGTCCAATGAACTGACAATATTGATCGCTTTATCTGAAGATGTTCAATACAGAATGATAAAAAAAAAATCTCGTCATGACAAAGTAGTTAAATCTATGCATTAGAAGATGTGTCATTACTACGTGATAAAAAAAAAAAAAAACAGCTGCAAATCTTTACGAATATCATCCGGATTCTGAAATTGAGAGAGCAGATGTTACGATCCTTTGGGATTTTTTTCTATAAACACAGAATGAACGCAAAACAAAATCGCCCAGGCATTATTATCATAGAAAGAAAAGAAAAAGAAAGTACATTAATTGACATGGGTGACAGAAACATTTCTTCAGATTTTTTGGAAAAACTAAGCAAATGCAAAGAAACCGAGAAGGAAATAGAAAAAAATAGCATTTAAAACTAAATCTATCCGTTATATGGTTCGAGCCTTGGGTCAGATAAAGAAAGGAGATCAAGAACAAATCAACGAAATCCCTTGTGCGTCCTCTCCTCAGGAAATCCAACAAATAGATCTAACAAGCCCATCTCATGCAAAACGTTTTATCCATTTAATTATTGCTAATAGCTTTCATGTGATTAATTAAGAGGAAACAACAACAAAAGAAACAACTAAAAAACTGACCCTTCACTTGCCCCAGGTCATAAGTTATGACTCGGCATAGGATTATAAAACCAACGTATGTCAAAAATAATATAAAAAAATAATAATCTAAAATAGAGTACCATAAAACTGCTGTTATGTCTGCGATGATTACAGCCTTAGTTACGATAAGAAAAAATACAGACAATCATATTAATAACGTCCCTTTATACAAACAATTTAAGAAGACGAACCGTGTACTTATATTGCCCAAAAAAAAAAAATAAATAAAGTTTACACCATACCAATATTGATAGAAAGAAGAACACGAGGGTCGAATTAGCACAGAATAGATAACTTACTATAAAACTATGGACG